CTGAAACTGCCTCTTCTTGGCTCCATGGGGAGATTTCTTAGTTACCTCCTCGTCATTTACTTCACAAACCAACAACTGACGGTGTACAGACTTCTGACAGTCCTGGAACGTAATTTGGTGGATTCATCCAGCCAGAAAAAAGTATACCCTGCATTTGACCTCCACCCTGTCCCCCCCTGTTTACCTACTTGGTTGGGTAAAGTAGGTCAAAGCAGCCATTATCTATTTTAAATAACTTGAAAGTACATGTTCCCATACCTTTTGGCGGATATTATCTCTTTATCTTGCAGCAGCTGTCTACGATACACCGAGTAGCTGCTCAAGTGTCCGGATGACAGAAACATGAATAATCAAAATTCCCAATAAATATCAAATAATTATTTAAGAGTTCTCTCACAAGTTTTTGCTTCTAAATATGTGTTTTCTTAAAGTACATTTTATCTGAAGCACAAATATGCTCAGAAAAATGACCATTATAACCTTAAAGAAAATATAATTTACTCTAAACCAGTAAGAAATCACCTCTTCACTACAGGTAGCTAAACCTGTCTAGCTGTCCTTCCTACATCGCTACCATATATACTATAAATCTATCCTTAAATCTGGGGATCCCCCCCCCCTTTACCTTTTGCCCTCTCTCATTTGACATTTTTATCCATCCACATTCTTTTCATACTCCTCTTTGTCCACCTCTTTCATTCTTTACTTTGTTTACTTTCTAATTTCCTTCTGTTCCTGGTCCCGGTGCTTGCTGGACCATGAGGAATGTCACACTCAAAAAGCATTAATGTCAAGGAATCAGCACACAAAGAGCGTGTTCATTCAAGTCAACTAGACGGCCAAAGCACACATATCTGAGTCTGAGTTTCATTTGTTTAATCCGAAATGCAGCGACTGTTATTACGCCACATCGTTCCGTCTGCAGATGTTCCTCCGGATGACGGTGATCTGTGTTGATTACAGTTGCATGGCCCCCTTTTTTTCTTAAGAGTAACCACTGTGCATTATCTGTAACATCTGTACCACAGAAAGTTGTCTTTGCACAGTACAGCTGAATCAGCTGTACTGTGCAAAGACAACTTTGCACAGGTCGCATCAGAGCATCAGGCCGTATAGTGTGAGACCTGCATCGTGACCTATGAACTTCTAACCTCTGCGATTCAATTGTACAGTTTGAGCAGGAGCTGAATAACGC